GAAATGGAATGGCAAAGAGTATGAACAAATCATGACATCCTTTTTCACGGAACTCGAAAAGAAGAACATCACGGATCAGACATACCAAATATGGAGAACTATGGAAGGAATTGGAATAAGATCCCATCTCAACCCAAACATGCTTACCAATGTCCACAGGGACATCGGGTGAAATAAAAGACTCTCAAATGCTGAAATAGATCAGATAAAACTAAATATAAGACAGAATGCAATCATTCATCCCTCAAATAATAAAGAGATGAGACTGGAAATAAATAATATGTTAGAGGATGAGATAAAAACTAAAATAAATGAGATACGAAATAATAATCTCTCATGAAATAAAACTGAAGACTCTACCTGCGATATAAACTATAGTTATCCTGATCATGTCACTGAAGATGAGTGAAACTTCATTAGGACAGAAATACTTGAAAACGACAGAGGAGAAATCACTGAAGCGAAAAACCACATTATTTAAATACTCAGCATTTTAACTCGCACACAAATATCAGACAGAGACCATCTCCCAAAAATTCATATGACGAAGTCCAATAAACATATTTCGCAAATACACAACGCTGCACTTGAAACTCTGTTAACGGACAAATCACTGGGAAACATCACAGAAGTAAATAATGTTATATACGCAACAGCTTTAGCAGCTACTGGGAAGATTGGAGTCAAGACAATGAAAAGATCAAACAGCAGACAAAAAGAGTCAGATTGAAAGGTAAAATTAAAGCAATAAATAAAGGAAATCAAATGTGAATTATCGATACTAGATGAGATCTCAAGAAGCTCAAATGTCTCAACACGCAAATTCAAGAAAATCAAGCGAAAATATAAAATTAAATCACTAAATGAAATTCCACCAATCAAAGAAATCCTAAAACAGAAACTGCAGTTAAAGGCACAGAGAACAAGACGATACGAAAAACGTTGTAGGTTCTATCGCTAAAATAAAATATTCAAAACGGACTTTAAGAAATTTTACAGGGAAATTGGAAAAGCAGTTAGACATGTCAAAAAACACCACCTATTGAAAAAGTGCAGAAATTTTGGCAGAATGTTTGGAGCAGCTCAAAGGAATGCAGAATGGATCCAGCGAGAAGAATGAATTCTGGATAAACCTCTTCAAGAATGGGAAAATATAACCAAGACTAATGTTATGAAAGATCTAACGAAATCCCTAAAATGGAAATCCCCAAGAAATTACAAAGTACCCAATTTTTGGCTCTATCATCTGTCATCAATCCATAAAATCATTGCACAAACGTTATCAATGCTTATTAGTAATCCCAATGAAGTCCCGGAAATGATCGCAGATGGTATTAAATATCTCCTGCCAAAAACGGATGATCCGAAAAATTATAGGCCGACAGCATCTCTGTCCACCACATATATATTGATCACATCTGTCCTGACGAACTGTACTAACTATTTTCTCGAAGAAAACATTCTTCCTATGGAACAGAAGGAATACTGGAGATGTTTATATGTCTGCAGAGACCAACTTTTGATAAACAAAATGATCCTAGAAAATTGCAAGAAAAGATTTAGAAATCTAAGCCCAGCATAGATTGATTACCGTAAAGCCTTGGATAGTCTGCCACACTCCTGGATTTTTAGGACTCTAAAATTGGGCAAAGTCTCCTCGGTCATAGTAAATATTTTAAACATAACATGGGAATGCGGAAAACTACATTATACCTAAATCACACCAGAGACACTGCCACCTTCAATCCCTTGAATATCCGACAAGAAATCTTTCAAGGAGACTCCCTGTCACCCCTTCTGTTTTATCTAGTCTTAATCCTTCCTTACGCATGAACTAAACAATAATCGCTATGGATACCGAGTAAACAATAAAGTATTTAATCACCTACATGGATGATCTCAAACCGTTTCATAAAGATGACAATGATTTAAAGGGCTTCATCAATACTGTAAAATGTTTCAGTGACAACATAGATATGGATTTCGGATTAGATAAATGTGCAAAAGTAACATTCAAGAAAGGGGGAATTACAGAAAGACACTCAACGGATCTAGATTTTGTTGCAAAGATTAGGGAACTGGAACAAGAAGAAGTCTATAGGTATCTAAGAATTAGCGAAGGAGATGGAATACAGCATAGCCAAATGAAGGAGAAAATGAGAAAGGAGTACTATAAGTTCGCGCGTCTGGTAATGAATACCGAATTGAATTCATAAAACAAAATATCAACTATAAACAAATTGGTCGTCCCTGTGACGAAATGCAGTTTCAACATTCTTAACCGGACTTAAGCGAATGAACGGCAACACGAGAAAGCTTCTCACCTGCCACCGCATGCATCATCCCAAAGCTGATGTTGCTCGTCTGTATGTGCCCAGATCCGAAAGAGGCAGAGGATTTGTTCAACTAGAACTGTTTTACAAAGGTACAACAATTGGCCTTCAAAGATATCTAGAAACTACAGAAGACTGGATGATGATCTGTGTCAAAGAACATGAAAGTAGTAAACGACTTTATTCAGTAATTGTTATACCAGAACATTACATATTCTATTGTAATAGACTCTCCCACACATAATAAGTAGTAGTAGTAGTAGCGGTCGCCTGTTGGGCTCAGTGGAGTTGAGTGAGTCAGTCGATGTCGGACATTGAAGTATCAACCATCACAATTAGATTGCTGCGTCATTAACTCTTATTTCAAGTTCCTAACGTTTTGTACGTCGAACCTAATTTAGGACGACTTAGTGAAATACAAGCCTCCACTGTGAAAACTACTCTACGACAGTAATAAACGAAGCCAACAATTTCAAAATGGAGTTTCAAGTAAGTGAAGAAATGCATGTAAAAACATTATGCATCTGCTGCATCTGCAAACTATTTAAAAAAGAAAGCAAATGCAATCGACCAGATACAGAAACGATGACAAGATAAACCTCTCCAGGGTCAATGTTCTGCCAGTACCAAAAAAGCTGATGTAGACAAACCCAATACCCATCAGTGTCTACGTAGTGCAGGGTTAAAAGCTGAAACCGAAGGTTTTATTCTTGCTGCACAGGAACAATGTTTGCTAACTAGAATTTAGTATGCGCACATTCTGAAAAATTGTGTTAACCCAAAATGTAGATTCTGTGATAAATATCCAGAAACAATTGACCATCTTTCATCAGGTTGCACGTTATGGCATCCACTGAATTTTAAAACCGGTATGACAGAGTGGGCATTAGCACTGGAAAATCTGCAACTTTTACGAAAAGGAAATTGAAAGAAATTGGTATGAACACTACCCAGACCCGGTTAAGACCTGTAACAATTTTATGGGACTTTACAATACATACCCAGACAGAAGAATCAAAGCTAATCACCCAGACATCGTGATTAGAGAGCATAAAAACAGAACATGTCTTCTTATTGATATGGCAGTTCCTACAGACTGTAATGGTTCTTTGAAAAACATTAAAAAAAAACTATCATAATACACGTGCCTTGAAATTGAAATCTCCAAAAATGTGAGAAAAGGACGACATCAAGAACTCCAGATGAAGTTGGACCCCTCTGATTGATTAGAAAAGATTCCAATAAACTCACTGAAAAGATTCCTGGTAACCAATGCCTTAAAGAAACAGAAAATTGTTCTCACAATTACAGTCCACATCTTACGAAGGAATTTATCTATTTAAAATATATGTGATTTTAGGTGCTTTATTTTGGTTTTTTTTTTCCTTAAAAATGCTCAGTGGAAGATGACATGATGCCATTTCTGACCTTAAGTCTCGTGTTGGGACCCTGAAAGAAATGAGTATACAAAGAGAATAATAATAATAATAATAATAATAATAATAATAATAATAATAATAATAATAAATGGTAACAAGAAATGAAGAAGTTGCAAATCCCATAATATTCTCGGTCTATGATTTTCAAGTAGACAGAGTGATACACCATCGCCGTCCGGATATCATTATGCTAGATAAAGGCGCCAAGAATTGTCGCATTATTGATGTTGCCAGACCAAATAGTACAAAAATAGCAAACAACTTGATTGACAAAATGATAAACGATTCTGATTTGAAAGTTGAGACGGCAGGATTGTCTGGGATGCAAGATGGGAATGTCATGGTGATTTCAGTGGTGATTGGCACACTGGGATCAATCCCATTAAAACTGCGTGAATTCCTTGACCAGCTGGGGATACCAAACCAACTTCGTGTCATCCAAATGTCGGCTGTTTTGGACACTGCGGATATTCTGATGAAAGTGTTGTGTGTCTGACTTCCTTGTTGTGTCTTGGCAGATAACTTAATCCATCTGGCGTATTCAAAAAATTACTCTATAATAAAGCACAATAATAATAATAATGCTCGATTAAAAACTTAATGGTAATAATGAAACTTATAAAACCTTTCCCTTAAAACAATTTCTTTTTAGGATATTAAGCTTCTCAAGTTCCCAACCTCTTAGCGTTCTTTCATTGATTGACGGGAGTTTCCTTACAAACCTTTTTATATTTGGTAGTGTGGAAAGGTTGGTCAAGGTAATGGGGAAAATTAGTCGTTTCCATACAGGAAACATTCTGCATTTATTAACCGAAACTATTTTTAATTTTTTTAAAACGCTTGTAATTATTTTATATCCATTATATTTATCTAATTTCATATGTAATTAAATTAAATTTATATTTTTATTTTTCAAATAATTTAACATTGTTTGAATTTTGAATGACATGTCATTTTAACAAGACAGTCACTTGAATAAGTGGCCCTCGTTCAAATCATATTTTTTATTAATGGCAATTTAAAATTAAAGAAAAAATCAAATCGATGGTCGTTTTGTTTATAGAAATGGTCAAAGGGGAGAGTTTATAGAAAAGTTATTTACAGATAATGTTCCTTCCATAAAAGAATTACTTCAGTATTTTTATGCTTATACACACACGCACACACACACACACACACGCACACACACATATATTTGTATAATTTATTCGTACAGTAATAAGTCATTTCATTTTTGGTCATAGTAGTAGTAGTAGTAGTAATGGTAGGAGGAGGAGGAAGAATGAGAATGAGAAGAATACTGATAAGAATAAAACGAAAAATAACAAAATTGTGTATAAAAATGAAAAAAAAAAGAAAAAAGAAAAAGAAGAAGAAAAAAAGAAAAAGAAGAAGAAAAAAGAAATAGGAAAAGAAAAGAAGGATATTCAAGACGAAGAAGAGAATGAAGTTTGAAAATGTAGGAAAAGAAGAAGAAGAAAAATAAAATTAAGAAACAAATATAAGCAGAGAGAAAAAGATGCATGAAAAGAAGAAGAAGAAGAAGAAGAAGAAGAAGTATGAAAAGAAGGAGAACAACAACAACAACAACAAAGAGGAGAACAGATGGAGGGGGGAATAGAATACGAAAAATAAATATAAAAACCGAAAAAGAAAATCTATAAGGATAAAAAGAAAAAAAACAGAAGAAAATAATAATAATAATAATTTAAAGAATGATATGAAAACTTAGAAGAAGAGATATTTATTAACAAATGTTGATCGTCTGATTTGCTCTCCTTTGACCTGCAAGTGAACTTCGCCGAACATTTATTTTTGAAGAAATGCATAAAAAAAATGAAAAAAAAAATATGAATTCTCCTTCTACCACAATATTTCCCGTTCAATAACGAGCAAAGTAAAGTTGGGAATAAAGTTTCTGGTCTTGATTACTCGATTTAATGAAAAGCTTTTAGTCTAATGCTTTGCCTTTGGCATTGAATCGAGGCATGCAATAATGCAAAAGAACCTCTCCACTTGGATGTTCACAATATGGCGTCCAGTCATCCACTGATATAAAACAACTCTTTTCAACAATAAAATATGTATTATCTCCCTCGTTTTTTATGTATGTTTTAATTGCGTACTATGTAAATTGAAAATAAAAAAATAAATTAGTTAAGAAAATACCATCCAAAATTTAAACAAAGTATTAAGAAACAGAAAAAATTCTTTAGAAACAAAGAAAAGATTACTGAATTGTTACGTGATACCAGTCCTCCTGTATGGTAGTGAATGTTGGACAACTTCATCACGGAGGAAGGAGAGACTTGAGAAAACAGGAATGTGACTCTACAGAAGGATGCTGAGAATACCAAGGACAGAACATGTAAGCAACAGAAACATTCCAAGATGCGAGCTACACATTCAAGACGTCAGAGTCAAGCAAATACAGAAGTCTATTTGTGAAGTGTTATAAATGACGATGGAAAAATGTGGCACTGAAATCCGAAGGTGCATTGGAACAGAGAAAGATGCCTTTCAAAAGATAAACAATGTATTAAGCGATAGGAAAAAATGGCCAGAAACAAAGAAAAGAGTTCTGAGTTGACGTTTCCTATCTTTCTTGCGATGTAGCCGTGAATGCTGGACAGTTTCCTCACAGATGAAGAGGAGACTTGATGCAAGAGAAGGATGCTGAGGATAGCACTTGAACAGGGAAGACATTTTAAGGAAAATGAGCACAAGAAGGACACTTGTATTTAGAATTAGAAAGAGTAGAAAATTCTGGGATGCTTTTAAGGAAATGGAGCTTGGGAAATTTAACGATCACAGGACATATTGAAGGAAAGAGGGACATAGCGAGTAAACAGCCTAACAAACCTGTGTAAGTGAATGACAAAACTGGGAGTGGGAGGAGTAATAAGGAGACAAATAGTGCTTAGATTTATAAAGGATAGGAAGTTGTGAAGAGCTATGAATACATACATCGCCAAGGGAGATGCTACATAAAAGAATAATTCTTTAGATAATTTTATTCTTGGCAAACTTTCAAATTTTAAATGCAAAAACTTAAATATTAAAGATGTCATATTTTCTTTTGACCTGATGATTATTTTCTGATATGAATTTAAAATTTCCAATTGCGCTTTTATAATGTATTGACTTCGTTACACGGTGTCTGCAAAAAATTGACATCATTTAAAATTTGAATATCTAAGTAACTATATGCCCCAGGCAAACGAAATTAAATAGGCTTCATGTTGAGCAATAAAAGATTTACCAAAATTCGAACAAGATATTCAAAGGGATTTCGATTTTATAACCGATTTCACAAAGTGTTATACTAGAACATTACATATTCTATTGTAATAGACTCTCCCACACATAATAAGTAGTAGTAGTAGTAGCGGTCGCCTGTTGGGCTCAGTGGAGTTGAGTGAGTCAGTCGATGTCGGACATTTGAAGTATCAACGACCACAACTAGATTGCTGCGTCATTAACTATTATTTTCAAGTTCCTAACGTTTTGTACGTCGAACCTAATTTAGGACGACTTAGTGAAATACAAGCTTCCACTGTGAAAACTACTTTACAACACAAAGCTTCACAAATGCTGAATATGCGCACCATCTGTGACAAGGAACACGTCAAGTCGGTAGTCCAGCTCCTGCCAAACACGCTGTAGCATGTATTGCGTAACATTCTCCAGCGTCTCAGCGACTCTCTGCTTAAATTCCTCTAGGCTTGTAGGCAGAAGGGGATATTGACCTGTCCTTTAACACTCCTCCATAGAAAAAATTCACAAAATGAATGTGGTGGCCATTTCAACAGCATATTATCATTATCCCTGTCACGCCCGATTTATCTTCCTGGTAGATTCTCATTGAGATAAATCCGCAAAGTCAACTTAGTTCTTGTACATTTTGTTAAAATTTGAGATCGTTTGAGAGAGAATTGAGAGAATGTTATGAGACTAGAAAATGATGTCAACTTGCGGGGGGGTGTATGTAAATTTACCCTCCTAAAATTTAACTTTTATAAAATTTGGCTCAAAGCCAAATGAAGAAACTTGTTCGTCTACTTAACTAAGCACAAAGTCATACACTGGTTACCTGGGAGGGGGGTCAAAGTAAGTACAATAATAACGGTATGCTTGATGAGTTTGCTAACTGCTTTTTATAGGAAGGTAATCTATCTACTAAACATAGGTTAGTCATCATTCGAACTGTATCACCCTGAAGTCACACCGGATGATTCCTTATCGTTAGTAACTTTATAAATAACTCCTATAAGTCCTCTCTAATCTTCCGTCCTATTAACTTGTGCTATCTAACTTCATAATTAATATCAATTCCTTCTTTGATTTTGGTTTCATACAGACAATATACAGCGTGCGATGAATAAATTGTCGTCTAACTACGCAAAAAAAAAAAAAAATTAAAATAACACTGACGTCTCATTTTAACAGATATATTTACCAAAACTACACAAAAATATCTTGAAATGCTAAAGAGCAAATTTATTCAATAAAATAGCCATTAGCTTCACCCACGGCCTCCAGACGACTTCGGAATCTCCTGCAACTCTTTTGGTGAATGCTGCGATAATCATTGCCTTCAGTGACAAGGAGTCTTGTTGATCTCTCGCTCAAGTATGCCCCACACATAATAATCAAGGAGTTGCAGTCTGGGGAGTTGGACGGCCAGATGTAAGGGGTGATGTGGCCGTAGAAATTGTCTGACAGACATGATTGAGTTCTCCTGCTTGTGTGGCATGGTGCAGTGTCCTGTTGCCAGACATAGCGTCAGATTGACACCCAAACATTCTGAAATGTTCATATTGGAGCTTCCGGTGCGAATGTCAAGCAGTACAGCATGCCGTGCTCAACTGACCTCACGATATTGTGCAGTTGACAAAATTCCAAACAATCAACGCGCATGTGCGAAATTAAAAATATAAAATGGCGATAATTTACCTATCTCATCCTATACATCACAGTTATAACTATCGACATTCCCAGGCTGTAGTTTCTTTTCTTTTTTACTCAAGTCCTCTAACATTAAATGTCCGATTCAAATCACAAGGCTATTCTGATGATAACAAAAAATGGTTTATTATTGGCAATTACTATGCAATTTCGCCTTCTTTCTTCTCTATGCTTGTAGCTGTAGTCATACATGGACTCTTGTCGTTTTAATCCTTTTAACATGAACGGTCAGTCTAACAAAAGTAGCGACTTCTTTCTTCCCCATTTTTTTCTTTTAAGTCAGTTTCTTTCTTTTTAACTCAGCCCCGGTCTTTCTTCGTCAAAACATAGCCCCGGATCTTTAACGGCCAGAAAAGCAAAACGATCCTTACTGACTGACGGGGGCGGATTCTCCGATTGCTTCCAGATATAGTCCTCTCTGTTTACAAAGTTTTTGACACTGGAATTGTCAAGTAAGCCTTTTCTCCAGAGAAGTCGGATAATTTTTGCTTGTTTGGTCATTCGAAGATTCTATCACGTACACTCCTAATCCCAAAGCGCTAAATCAAGAATTTTTATACGTTTCGTTTATTTTCTTTTTCGATTATAGTTTTCTCAACTTTTTGTATCCCCAAACTCACTTTCATTTATTTAATATAACTACTTCGTTGGTTCCAACCACCGAACTTTATTCATACAGTTTTTAACATCTTGGGCGAGATGATCACTCTGCCACACCGACTGGACACGTCACCACACAGTTCGATGTTTCGATTTGTGTGCGCCGGTCTGAATAAAAAAGACTCAGTGTAAATTTTCACAAAGGAACGAAAGGTGAAATAGCATCACGATTAGAAATGTAAACACGAATCCTGTTTCCAACATTTATTCACAGATTCATTTCACAAAGTTTGAGAGTAGGTAGACAATACTTATGACATTTTCGCTGCTATATTCTGTCACAACAGAATAACGAACCAGATCTTCTCATTGGCCTGCGAGAACTCTGAATTTTCCCGACTACCTCACTGTCTATTTCCACATCACGACGCGCGGCTCGCAATTTGCCAACGGGTGACCACAAATCTGCTCTCTCCATTCAAACTTCTGCTTAATCCTGTGTCCGGAACTTCCTTAATTCCGGTCAAGTGGTAGTAGATCCCGAAAGTTTTAATTATTTCCTTTCGTCCACCAAGTTTGGCATCTCTATTTCTAGAGTTTACTGTCTACGCAAATCAGATATATCATTTGACTTTGTGTGTGTTTTAATCTTAGTCAGGTACCATTGTATCACGCTCGGATAAGATTGGCGGCCAATTTGGCTATGGTCGTTGTACTAACATGTAACATGTGATGATTAACGGTGATCAAGAATGTAAAGCCATCAGTCGTAAGAGGACAGGATTTCTTCGTTCAGCTCCATTACTTGGCCCAGTGTCTAGAACTATTATTTCAACTTTGTCGACAATTTCTGGTGACCCCCTGACTCGGATTTATGCTGATCTTATATATGAATTTTTTTCTTCTTCTCTCATTTCTCTTTCCACTGTCATTTAATTTCACTGACAAGCGAAGCACTTAAATGTCCCTTTGCGTACACAGCTTTCAGCCGAGAGCGAATTTACCTCAAGCGACCGGACTTATGATTGACGGCTCTTATTAACAATTCACTCTAGTTTTTGACTTTACCAAATTAGATTACATTAACATTTTAACCAGTGCATATCTTATACACTACTAAAATCATACTGCATATAATTGGGTCATAAATAGATTTTGTTGTACCGGACTTGTTACCGTCATAAAGATGTTATTTTTTTTTATCTTTTTATCATTTTTATTTTACCCGTATCAATTATTTTTTAAATTATTTTAACATTTTTTATAAATTAATTTTTTTATTATTCTATTTTTTATTATTTTTATCAGTTTACATTTTCTGTATTATTTTATATTTTTTATTATTTTAACACATTTATTAATTTAAGCATGCTACGAAATTGTTATCTAGGTCCCGTCGTTTACTGTTGAAATATCTAAATGCAACCACCACTTATACACCAACAGTTTTTATTCTCACACTTCCCGACAGTGGAACTCCCTTCCGTTTACTTGCTACTCTGATAACAACAATCTTGCCACCATGTTATATTTTTAATTTCGAGCATGCGTGTTGTTTGTTTTTGATTCTGTCGACTGTACAGTATAGTAGGGTCGGTGGAACACAGTCTGTGAGAAAAAGAGCACAAAAGACGCTATTCACTCCGGCAGTACTTAAGTACCACTTAAGATTATCTCACAAAATGTCATAACTGAATCAATTGGTTAAGTTATCAGATCCTCATACGTCGAAACCATTATATATAAATTCTCTGTTCTTTAATTAAACAGTATCAATTATATTTACCGATCTGAATGTTCCGCTCTGCAGAGAACTTCTCGAAAAAGCATTAATTCGAGCTTTGCTTGACCGGAAGTTCTTTGTGGCTGAACGGTTATGGCATGCCAGACTTAATAATGGTTCCGTATATGATGCAGATTCGATTCCTGTCGGAGAAGGCATATTTTGTACCAAATTTCTTGAACATTCAAGCCAGTAAATATACATAATTAAGCGCTTGAAAAATATATTTCAATTGAGCACTGTTGAGAGATAAGCTGATTCTATAAACAACAGCCACCTGCGCTAATGCAAAGCTCTTCAGTAAAATAAATTGGAGCCCTCTGACTGATTGGCGTTTGTTTATATTTGTAAAAACAATACGCTAGAATTAACTGTTCCTCTCTGCCGAGTGATGATAGCTTAATGCTAGAAACTCTGACTGACACCAAATCGATCAGATTTCGGTCCTGGCTTGAGGCATTCGGACGTCTAGTTGCACTTAGGAGCTGTGATACAGCGAAACAGTACTGTCAGCGAATGACATATATATATATTATATATATATATATATATATATATATATATATTCATACAATCGGAATTATGTAAATGATTATTTTCACCTTGTAAAATTAAAATTACATGATTTTTCAAACAGTCAATGGATGATAAATTTTTGAAATAAAAAAAACAGACAAGGGGGAGGAAAGAAAATGAAGAAAAAGATGGGAAAAAGATTATGAAGATTAGAAAGAAAGGGGAGGTTGCAAAAGAAACAGGAAGTGGTGTAAGTTTTGATATGAGTGGTGGTCAGAGGGGAAAGGAAGAGAGAAAGAGAAGGGAAGGAGAGAAAGAGATGACCTATTTAATATAGCCAGTAGAAATAGACAGTATAAAATAAACACAGACACATAAATGAACCTTCAGATATTAATGAAAAAAAATAAAAAAATAAAAAACAACCCAAAAATATAAAAGGGAGATAATTCAGAATTAAAGAGCATTAAATTAAGATTACCAGAAAGAATATTAAGGGAAATATAAAAAACATAATATAATGAGGGAGAGGAATAAATATCACAGGATGAATACATTCAAATTAACATATATCAAATTAAATTTATATTAATTAATACGCATCCAAATTTAATATATAGTATAATGTAAAAAAAAAAACTTAATAATGGAAAAAATGAATGAAAAGTCATCCAATAGATAATACTATATAACAAAATAATATATAAATATATTAATAAATTAATATATAACAAAATAATATTATAAATATTAATTATTAGTAACAAAAAAATTTAAATAAATAAAATGTTACAAAAAAACCTTAACTGAAATTAAAATATTTAATACAAAAGCAAAAATAAAACCAAAAGAAAAATTATAAATATCAGATGCCACTTCATCAAACCACGTAATATAATATATATTAATGAAAATACTTCAATGCCACATATCAATATTATATATTAACATATGCACCACATATAAAATGTGAAAACCACAAAATATTAAAACATAACTAAATAACATGAGACATCCAATTGATTGAGAATAAATATAAAAAATATAATAAAGAATATATAAAGCAATATAATAAAATAGAGTTTTATAAGCTTTATGTCATATATTGGTTTATATATTTCATTATTATGTATTATTACATAATAACAAATTAACTCAAAAGTTATATTAAGGTATATTATTATTAATATGCAGTGGAACCTCGGTTCACGAATTCAATTCGTTCCTGAAGCCCATTCGTAACCCGAAATGTTCGTAAACCGAAACTATTCTTCCAATAGGAATAAATGTAAAATGGATTAATCCGTTCCTGGTCCCAAGATGATTGTACATTTAAACTTTTACAACAGTACTTTGTGCACAAGTTTATACACGAGACTGATGAAAATCATTAAAGAAAAAATAAATAAACCCAATAATAAAAAGATAAGATCTAGAGGAATACTTTAATTTTATTTTTACCGGACTTGTAAGTAGGAAAATAGTTGAAGGGAAGGAGAAAGAAAGAGATAATCGTCTCTTTATAAGAATAGTATTGTTGAGGAGGTGTAGTTTATTAGGAAAACTATGTAAATATCAAAAAGTATTATTTGTGTTGGTTGCGTGAAAATAAACTTCTCCACAAACATTTAACTTTGAGTATGGCACAAAGTCATCAACGCCAAAATATAAAACAAACAATATTCCTTTTTAGAAAAAAAACATGAATGAAGCATAACAAATATATACAACATGAGAATGATAATGTTCTTTAGAACAGATAGAAACTTTGTTTAGAGTTCCTGTCAGTAAAAGGATTTTTAAAGAATTAATCAGTTCAGATTAAATAATATTTTACATCGTAAATTTCTGTCATAGTTTGATATTGGAGTTTAAGAGATGTTTCCCTTTATGTGTTGAATATTAAATATATATTTTGTTAATAAAACAGATAAAAAGATGAAAGTTTAAATATTACGTGAATTAAGCTGATTCAACAAATGAGTAAAATCTTTTGAAGAAAATAAGTTGTGTTCTTCCCGAAAAGTTAGTTGTAATCAAAATTGGTAAATGAAATGTTGATTGATATAAAAAGTTGAATTTTGTGTTTAAAAGATAAACTTTTAAGATTATAACTTTTGAGTAAATTGTGCATTAAATATTATATTAAGAATCTTTTGGCTGTAGGATAGTTGACTCGAAGTAAATATGCCTTAGGTTATGTTCAAAGTTGCTTTTTGAATAAAATGTTTGTTTGGCAAACTGTATGTTTTTTGAGTAGAGTTCTTGTTGCCTTGATAAAGATCATATAGATGATAGAATTGAAGTGTAGTTTGTTTGGTGAGTGAGTGAATTCAAAGCTTAGGATTACGTCAGGAAATCTAACTTAGAAACTTCTTCAAAGATTTGAACGGCGTGAATTTGTTTGGCGAATTGTTTGATGCTGCAAAGCTCACTGTTAGTAGTTGATAAGTTTCTGTTGCATGTAAGGGACAGACGCGGGCTCTTCACTGAACTACATCCTTGTGCTTCCGAGAAAAACAGAGGAAAAAGAAAGAGTTGAAGATATTATATTTATAATATTGTATATCACGTGATAGGCTCGAAATAGAGAGATTTTGGGCGGTAAATTAATTTTAACCGTACGGAAGTAGACGAAAGCATGATATTGGAATTAATTGACCAATCAGGAGTCAGAGAAATGTCGAGGCTCTATGATCCACTTGGGTGTTTAGCTTGTACAAAAATTGACATCGAAAGAAAGTGATAGCAGAATGCTAAAGTAAAGATCGTTTATTTTGCCATACTAAACTGAGTAAGAAGAGACAATATCATAAACAATTGTTTTTCAATTAACTTTTTCCTTGACCAGTATCACTGCTAGCTTTCTTTGGGGCCATGACTAAGGACTAATAAATCGAAAAAAAAGCACAGCGATAATTGGAAAAAAAAAACACTGCACAACACACAAATGTATGCAACATGGCAGTCGACACGGAAAGGATTCCTTTCGGGTTAAACTGGTTCGGCTCGGTTCGGCAATGTCGTTCTATAACCGAGGCATTTCCATCTCAAATTTTCTGTTCGAAAACCGATTTAATTGACATTTGTGACGTTCAAGAACCGAGGTTGTTCTGTATGATATTGTAATGAAAGTATTTTACTTATAAAGAATAATTCAGGATAATTCAATCAAGATACCTTAAGGTAAGAAAAAATAAAAAATAATGCTAATAACGGTTATATTAAAGATATTATTGATAGTCACCAAGAATTTATAGTAATTTAGTGATAGGGAAAATAAATTGTAAGAGAAGTGGAATATAGGAAAGATATATAAAGAAAGAAGAAGAAGCAAAATATACAACGTCAAATACAACAGTTCATGTACTTGTTAAAGTATAACATTGAAGTTCGGTTAGGACTGAAGAGGAACAGGAATTCACAGGTGAATTTTCAAAGGATGACAATTCATGCAAGTTCCTTCAGAGATTTTACGGGAAATAATGGAATTTTATTGCTTTTTTCAGCTCGCATTCATATGTCACTGCGTATACAATGGTTGTTCGTTCAGTATCCACAGATGTTGTTCTTCCCGTTCCTATTGATGACAAAACCATTTTGAATAATATTTACTGTTTCTAAAGCTATTAACTTGTACTGTCTAACTCCAGTATTAATATCAATTCCTTGGTTTCTTGGAGACAATATACAGCATGTATTCTCTGAAGCCAAAGTACACGGTGTGATGAATAAATTGTCGTTTAAACGACGCAAAAATGAAAATAACACTGACATCTCATTTTAATAGATATATTTACCAAAATTACACAAACATATTTTGAAATACTAAAGAGTAAATTTATTCAATAAAATCATCATCAGCTTCAACTACGGCCTCCAGACGACTTAAGAATATCCTACATCTCTTCTGGGTGGTCTCCTTGTTTAAGTTGGTGAATGCTGCCATAATCCTTGCCTTCAGTTCATCTTTGGTATTACAAGGAAATTTGTTGGTCTCTCACTTAACTGCACCCATACATAATAATCAAGGGGGTTGCAGTCTGAGAATTTAGGTGGCCAGATGTAAATGGTGAAATTGTCAACAGCCATGACTGGGTTCTCCTGTTTGTGTGGCCTGGTGCAGAGTCCTATTGCCAGACATAGGGATTTCAGCAGTCAGCCTCTTCACACTAGGCAGCACTAACTCCTCAAAGAACTTGATGTAGCGAACTGTGTTGAGTCTGAGGCTCTCACCAACAAATTCAGGATTTTTTTTCTTATCAGAACAGTCAGAGTTAGTTTTCTGAGCTGCCGTACCTTCGTAATCACCATTAGATTCATCGAACTCTTTCTTAATCCTCTGCACTCTCCTCAGATTGACAACCAAACACTCTGAAATGTTTTTATTGGAGCTTCCGGCGCAAATGACAAGTAGTACAGCATGTCGGTTCTAAATCCCTGGCTGAGTGAATTGCATCATGGTGCTCTTTTCCTTACAAAAGGTGCCCAACTGACCCTACTATACCGTGCAGTCGACAAAATCAAAAACAAACAACGTACATGTGCGTAATAAAAAATATAATATGACGACAATTTACCCTCGCACTCTTATCTATCTATCTATCTATCTATCTATCTATCTATATATATATATATATATATATATATATATATATATATATATATATATAATCACACATAGAATTAATCAGAAGTATTAATGCGATTATTGGCGACATCCATCGCTAGAAAACATAATATATGCATTAAAATCCTGTTCATCCATTTCAGTCGACATACAAGTATATCGTCTCAAGTTTTTGATTTTATAAGGAAAAAAAAACACATGCCTGATGATGGATGGAAAACTGTCCGTAAGTACTAGCATTTTAACATCAAATAAACTGAAAAACTACAGACAACAAGTTTTCGTCAAGGATCAAAACTCGCACTATGGATGAACAGGATTTTAATGCATATATTATGTTTTCTAGCGATGGATGTCGCCAATAATCGCATTAATACTTCTGATTAATTCTATGTGTGATTATTCTTTGTATGTAAATCATATGCTGCCTAATATTTTATGTTTATTATATATATATATATATATATATATATCGAGAGAGATAGAGAGAGATAATTCATCGAATTATATTATTATATATATATATATATATATATATATATATATATATATATATATATATATATATTAGTTCAGCCATTTTACATCGAATACTGTTTTAACTACCAGCACCACTCTCCATACACTATATACATATATATGTATATATATATCAGTTTTCCATATATATATATATAAATATATTAAAACTTATATATATATAGACATAGATAGATATACAAAGATGCGTGCATGTATATGTGCATATATTAACTCGTATATGTATGTATGGATATATGTGTGCATATATTAACATATATGCGTATACATATATTTAATATCTGTGTATGTATTAACACATAAATCTCTCTCTATATATATATATATATGTGCGTATATATTTGTGTATATGTGTGTTTATAATTAATATATATGTAAACGATATGCTTTAGTGCTCGTGCAGAACACACGAATACATACATATATATATATATATATATATATATATATATATATATATATATATATATATATATATATATATTTATAATTTACATATATCGGGCATAGCACGTTGCTATGACGTTTATAGCAATTGCAGTCGGAAGACATCAAATAAATTCTTCAAAGACTTTGATCGGTAAGACAGTAAGAATCAAAGAGCATTTGGGAAGCGGGTGGAGGGGTAGTATGACCAAAGGGTTTCCATTAAACCGTCATAAACATCAAAGAATCTCCTGAACTCTTTGAAAATTCATAACATTCACCAAATTTGTGTCTCGAAAATAAATGAAGTCTGCAAAAATGGTAAAATGCCATTGATTTTTGTTGGTTCGTTGGTAGAACGGGTTCTGCGTTTGCAAAGTCTTTTATTGCAGTTGCAAGTCGCAGACTTAACGACATGGTTCTTTGCTGCTTGGAGTGTAGAAAGAAAAGCAGAAGCAAGAAAACAAAATAAAAGAGAAAATTGAATTAAAAATTTAGCTTACTGAAATTGTCTCTGAGAACGATATAAAAAAAGAAAACAGGAACATTTAAAAGTTTAAAAATCGATGACGTAACCGAATAAAAAAAAGATCGATAACTTAACATCGGTTAATAAAGATTGATCATGTTTTATAGCTAAATCATCAAGAGAGTAACGCTGAAACAACTGCGCTTATATGAAACGAGTGCTTGCCTTTGACACTCTGTTGATATAAGTCATAACGCACACTTCACAGAAAAGTTCCTTTACCTGGTTTTAAGTATACCGGATTTTTTTTTTTTTTTAAACAGTACACGCCAAGGCAAGGAAATAAATCCACTAAAACACAAGAAGTTAATGAGTATGAGAGAAAACTAAGAAGAACAAAAACACTCTTAAGGAGCGAGAACAATAAGAGAACAGGAATTAAGAAGACAGAAGATGGCGGTTTACATTGCATTGAAATTTTTGAAGAAGCTGGAAGGCAATCTCACAAACGAGAAGTGCCATAGAAGAAACCGTTAACATAGAACTTACGGTTACATCTCGCCTTTTTCAACTATAAAATGATGAGAAAATCTAGTAGTATGTTAAAATTCATAATGTCTAGGTACCAAAAAAGATAGATAGATAGATAGATAGATAGATAGATAGATAGATAGATAGATAGATAGATATGAACAATTGCTATGAAAATATGTATAGAAAAGGAACAGGAAAGTTACGTTACGGCGGAGAGGATAAGTGACTGAAGCCGAGATGCCAAATGAAGACCAATAATATTGCAGATTCTTCTTTGTATTTTATAAAAAATCTCTGAATATACAGCAGAAATATCAGGCCAAATGTGACAGCAATATTCAATGAATGGACGAATGGTAGACTTATAAATGTATAAAATAGATTCTGGTGAAGCAGGACATAGTGAATATGAAATGAATCGGTGAGAGCCGATTTCAAATTTCAGTCGAGTTTGTTATAGTCACTTACACTGATATGCCTTTGGCAAAAGTATGAATAACTCCCCACTTATGGATTAAATAGTTTAACTGTTATAGAGTAGTTTCACAGTGGAAGCTTGTATTTCACTAAGTCGGTCCTAAAAAGGTTCGACGTACAAAACGTTAGGAACTTGTTATAATAGTTAATGACGCAGCAATCTAGTTTTGGTGGTTGATACTTTAATGTCCGACATCGACTGACTCACCAACTCACTGAGCTCTGGCGACTGCTACTACTACTTATTATAGGTGGGAGAGTCTATTTATAATAGAATAGGTATGTTCCAGTATATCATTAACTAGTACTCGAAAAAAATCATTGTTGTTTTTTTTTTTAAAATAGTCTTATTATTACGATCCAAAACATGTGTCGGCTCTAAGTAACCCACAAAGGATAGATAACCCGTAAAAAACAAATCAATCAATCAACCCAAATGAGTTACAGGAGAAGGTTTGTTAAAAGGGAAGGGTTGCGGATTTATGGTGTTGCTTTCTATCTTCAATTCTATCACTATCATTTCCTTCAGAAAGTGAGCTCGAATAGAAGACCATGTATCTCTCTTAAAAGACTGTTGCACACTAGCGGCAGGGAATTTCACAGGAGAGATTATCATCATTTTTAAAGAGCTACTGTATCTCTTCTGTTGCACCTTTCTATTCCAACAGTGAGTTTGCTAAAAAAGAAGGGTCTTTTGGTAGGTGATAGTCATTCATGCTTAACACATCGCCCGTCCTGAGCACATCTATCTTTTATTGTGTCACTGGCTATTTAAAATGATATCTCTCCAATGTGGATGGAAAATAATGGGATGCCAACACCGTCGGAATCGTTGAAGGAAGTGAAGATGGTGCTGGGCTGTGACCCGAGATTTGACACCATAATCAAAGATAGACAGCACGATGCCTTTGTACACATTATGGTCTGTCCGTCCTGAACTGGCATCTTCAGTCACTTCCCCATAGCCGTGATGTGGCTTCCCTCTGTCTTTTCTATAAATATTTTCATGGCAATTGTTCTAATGAGCTCTCCTCCTTAGTACTTCGTTTTCGTGAATTTAAATGTATTACTAGATTGGCAGCTAGGTCCCATCGTATTACTGCTGAAGTAGGTAGATGTAACCGTAAGTTCTATTCTAACAGTTTCTTTTCTTGCACTAATATTCCCTAAAACTCTCTTCCAGTTTCCTACTTTCCTGCCACTTACGATCTTATATATAATAAATGTGAATGTCAGTGTGTCACACTTTTTTCAATTAAATGGACACAACTCTCTAACTTTCAATAGCTCATGTTTCAGAAATTTTGGTTCCCAAGTTTTCATTACTGCGATTATTTTCGGCGATTTTTTACGTGATTTTTTTGCAACTTTCTTTTTTTTTCTGTACGATATCAATTTTTATAACTTGGAAATAAATTTGGTAATAATCGAAATTAATTACGAAATCCAGCGAAAGTCACCCATAAAATAAAAATAATTGTTTGTTCGGAAAGTGTTATGAACACTAATGGGTATGTCCCAATCTTCACAAATACGTTGGACACTATTATAAGTGGTGAGTAATATGCTGTCTAATTAGTCCACCACTAGCATTGGTTTACTACTTCACACCGCTGACTAGTATTGTACTTTGTTGATGTCATAAAGATTACCATTTCATTTCCAACCTCAGTTTTGGTTATTCTTTATTCAGTAACCTTTTCTAGGTTACGACACAAAGTAAGGACCTGCATATATGAAATAGTCTTTAAATTAAGTGGCGACAGATGAATTATCATTGACGTTTTAAAAGGTAAGCTTAAACATTAATGCAGTACTTAAATCCAGCAATCAATTTTGAGTTCTTCTATAGTTTATCGCATACGGCAGCAGTATACCTCGTTAAAATTAATCTCCGTCAGCAGAGTATCAGATTGCAATCAAAAGAACCAATGTTGCAGCGAGGAAAAGAAAGTCCCGTGCAAATGAAAACCCAGACTTAACGGCAGCCAGGAGAGCTTCCAATGCTGAGAATATGCAAAGACCTAGGGACTCTTAAACTCCTGAACAAGCCAAAGGCTAAATCTAGAGTACTCTTCAGGAGCTAGCTTAAATGCTTCCCAATTAAATGCAGTGATCAATTTTGAGTTCATTTGTAGTTTATTGTTGCCTATCGCATATGGCAGCAGTATGACTTGCAAAAAGAAATCTCCGCCAACAGAGGACCAGATTGCAATCAAAAGAGTCAAGACTGCAGCGAAGAAAAGAAAGTCCCGTGCAAATGAAAACCAAATCAAACGGCAGCCAGGAGAGCTTGCAATCCTGAGAATATGCAAAGACTTAGCGACTCTCGAATTCTTACAGGGAAGCTTTTAAGCTAATATAAAAGTAAATACAACGTCAATCGGCTTTTTTTGTCTTCCTGAAAACTATTCGGTTATTGTCCGTTCTCCTCACTAAAACTTTTTCATTCTCTTTCACTCCCAGTAATCCCCTTGCGTCATAGTGGCTTTATTGACTTGCTTGGGGCGAAAGGATTAAAAATATTTTTGTGACTTGGTGTTCTTATTGATTCAGAAACGTGTGTTGATTCTTAGCCCTATATTTACCAACTTTACCGCTTTCAGATATTTCGGCCAGCTAGTGTCCCGCATGTTAAAATTGCACTGGTAAATGGAGCTGAGTAAGTGGCATTAGTGTTGATACTGCATATTTCCTACCGGAAGCTGAGTCGGGAAAAACCAAGCCAGTCACAGCGTCAGATAACTGGAACTATGGAATATGTTTTTTTTTTCTCGATGCACATGTTAAAATTGCATCAACGTGTTTAAAATCATTCTAAAAATGTAAATATTCAGCCACTCCCCACTTAACGACCAGTTTCAGTTCCAACCAACACGACGCTAAATGAGTTAGCCGCTAAATGAGAAGTTGTACCTGGCTACACGTCAATCATCATCCGATAGCGTTAATATACTTTTTGCACCCTTTTAAATATTTCCTCTTCACAAATGTTTATAAAGTACAGTAGCGCACGGAATCATAGACTGAGCATGTGTGCAATGGGGAAGTTGTAAAGAAGATGGAAAGACAAAAGCACACTTACAATTCGTCGAAACAGTCGAAATTTCCAGGACACATAACGAGGAAAGAGGGCTTAGAAAATTTGGCAATCATCGGACATACTAAAAGCAAGAGGGACTGAGGTAAACAGTGAATACCTGCTTTATGAGATGGTGTAAAGGTTTGACAGAACAGGGGTTAGAAGAGATAACATTCAAAACAAAATTTACTAAGAGTTACAAAGGACAGGAAATTGTGGAGAGCCATGATCGCCCTCGTACTGAAGGGAGACGAGACATGAAAGAAGAAGAATGAGATTGTGTAAATGGCTGGCAGAACAGGGATTAGGAGAGATAGCAAGAAGACAAAATTTACTAAGAGCTACAAAGGACAGGAAATTGTGGAGAGCCATGATCACCCACTTTCTGAAGGGACACAGCACATAGAAGAAGAGATTGTGTAAATGGCTGGCAGAACAGGGATTAGGAGAGATAGCATAAAGACAAAATTTACGAAGAGCTAAAAAGGACTGGAAATTGTGGAGAGCCATGATCGCCATCGTCCTGAAGGGAGACGGAACATAAAAGAAGAATGAGATTGTGTAAATGGTTGGCAGAACAGGGATTAGGAGAGATAGAAAAAAGACAAAATTTACTAAGAATTACAAAGGACAGGAAATTGTGGAGAGCCATGATCGCCATCGTCCTGAAGGGAGACGGAACATAAAAGAAGAATGAGATTGTGTAAATGGTTGGCAGAACAGGGATTAGTAGAGATAGCAACAATACAAAATTTTCTAAGAGCTACAAAGGCGAGGAAATTGTGGAGAGCCATGATCACCCTCGTACTGAAGGGATACGGAACATAAAAGAAGAAGAATGAGATTGTGTAAATGATTGATAGAACGGGGATTAGGAGAGATAGCAAGAAGACAAAATTGACTAAGAGCCCCAAAGAACAGGAAATTGTGGAGAGCCATGATCACCCACTTTCATATGTTCATTTCTTGATGTTATCGTTCTATTGCTTCCAGCGAGCGACATCGTGAGAAAGTACCTGAAAACCATACAACGGGTTGACCCAAGCCTTGCGAGAGAAACTGGTTAGATGACACTCCCTTGGGGAGCCGTCAATCGTTGGACTAGCACAAATTCACAAGTCGTCGCGACCGAGATTTTCAGCGTTTTGTTGATCACACCAAATGATAAGTTGTCTTCCAGAAACTTTGACTAAGGTCCGCTCAAGATAGTTGCAGTATAAACCTTTTGTCCGTGGATGTTTAACAAACACAAATCAGCTTGAGCAGGTGTCTGCATCAGTGTCCTCGGAAAACGAGGAGACGGCCATTATGCTGACACGAAAAGAAGTCGACCATAGTCGGGATCATTGAATCAATGCGAACGATCCTTTCCTTAGCTGCATAGAATGTGCTTCGCCAGGCCTATATACAATATTGAATTCAGAGTTTTCCAGTTGCCACCCAAGGCTATAGAACCCAGTCTGTGCTATTATTTACCTATAGTTTTAAGAGTTGGATTCATACCTTTCCATGGTTCTGTGTATGTAAGATAATGTAATGGAATTCGAACTTAGCTCACCAATTGCTTAATTCGAACCGTTATCCATTACTCTACCGAGCAAGGAAATGCATGATGATTTTCTAATCGTTGCTTAGATCTGGCACAAGGCCATAAACCTGGGGCACTGAATGCGGATCGAACTCACTATTCAGTCGTAACTGATGTATCGAGACAAGATTGCTAACCATTACAACACGTCGAGGTGACACAAATCTACTAAAATAAACAGTTGATAACATGCTTTGGAAGATTTTGTACGTGAACAGAAAGTTGATTGATAAGTAATGTCTCCAATCCTATAAAACAAATTTTAGACCAGATAGAATAATGAAATTGGTATGAAAATGGAGTTAATTTATTTCTCTTCACAATTACATGGTTTTATTCATAAGCAAGATCTTCAATTCTATAAAAGAAGTTTTAGACCACATAGAATAACGAAACCATTTAATTTTATGCATTTTTCCAATACATCTTTTTTTAACCATTTCACTCCAAACAAGGCGATAATGCCACTAAGCCGCAAGGCGTTATTGGGAGTGAAAGAGAATGAGAATACTAGTGAGGAGAAAGGACAATAAAAACAGGTTTCAGGATGACATAAGATGACGAATGACGTTACGTTTAAATATTTGAAGATTTTTGTTAGCAAAAGAATGAGCCCAAAGGGCGATTTTCGAATCGGGATTACCAAAATCAAACAAGTGCGGAAATTTAAATATCTGGGAAGTGTTTTAACAGAGGACGAAAAGCGTGACACGAAAATCCGAAGGCGTATTGGGCTAGCCAAGGAAACATTCCCAAAGTACAGTACTAAGGAACAGAAAAACGTCGATAAAAACAAGGAAAAGAGTACTAAACATATTATGAGATATATGTCTTCCTGTATGGCAGTGAGTGCTGGGCAATCTCCTCAAAGATGAAAAAGAGACTTGAAGCAAGAGAAATGTGGTTCCACAGAAGGATGCTACAGTATCTGTAGTCTGGACATGTGAGC